CAAATGGTCATTTGATATTATTCAACAAAATTCTACACTCTGATTGACATACAGCTTTATGTGATATGTTTGTACTACGTTGGAATAATGAATTCTTCTGTCAATTATATTATTATATTGTTTTATTTGTTGCCATAATTTATTTTATACTTATTTTAGTACGTAAGCATCAATGACAATTAATTGTTTTAAATTTATACATATTTTTAAATATTTTAAAATAAAATCTTTTTATTTCTTATGAGTGTGTTTCACTTTAGAGATAGATTATAATAGTTTAATGTAATCCAAAGATGAGATCTTTTTTCAAAGCATGCGATCACACTTTCTCCTTTTATTCGTGTCTATTTATCTATTCATCTCAGAGCTCGGTTCCTAACGCGACGCTTTATCTATTCATCTTTAAGCTCTACGTTCCTGACGACGCTTCGATCGAGATCGCAGACGCCTGGCTCTCCAGTCAGTGTAGGGTTTCGTCATGAAATTCGTAAATGAGCCCCCGTGACTCGCGCTTTTGAATGGAAACCGACAGGGCCGACGGTTTTTACGAAAGCTGCCACAGGATGCGGGTGCGCGCAACGGAGAAGGGGTGGCGACGCTCATTTTCGTTCTTTTTAGCGTTTTTTTTCTGACTCGCCTCTCCCTCGGTCTTGCGAAGATCGAAGAGAAAAAGGAGAAACACCGCCAGCTGATCGCCTCCAACGTCGCCGCCGCCACCACCGCCGTGCCGCTTTTAAGAAGGAGACCTTTTGCAAAATGCGAGCACGTGCTCGTATTGCGTACGCCCTTCGTTTTCAGTTTTGCATGCCTGTTTGCCACCTGCGAAGACAGGCTCGTCTCGTCTCGTAGTGTACCGCCAGTCTGACCTGGTCGCAATTAATCCTGGGTACTCCACTTTCTGCAATCTCTTTTGTTCTGGAATCACGTGGATCAATAGACGACCGCAAGGATCTAATTCAAACGAAATTCGTTCCTTAGAAGCGAATTACGATAGCTTCTAATTTGGAGAGAGGGGGTAAGTATCTTGATATCGAAATATTTAAATAATTTAAGAAACAAAATGCAGTACATTCTTATATTCAAAACAAATGATATTAAAAGAATCGCGTATTAAACCAATATTTATGTATGATATAAAGGAAGCAAATTTTAATGTAGCCCTGATACCCGAATATTAATATGATCCAGAGTTTGTCAAGAAAAAGAAATTACCAGTGATTTACGCATGGCATCCCAGTGACGACAGGACTAATTACTCATCCGAAACATCGGGAATGTTAATGACTTCCGTTTCTCGCTTACAATATCGGAAACTCCTGATTTTCACGCAACTATTAACAAAAGGCGTGCCACTAAGAAGACACTTTTAATTCTGTAAAGTCTCATTTTTTTTTTGAAATTAAGAGAGCAGGATAAATCAAGCTGCTTTTGCTTGGTCAAGGCTAGCATTCGCATGCCAGCGTCTTTATTCTCTTTCTTTCATCGCTATTACCCAGGCGGTTTTTATGGAGCGTGGCAGGAAAAAGGAAGTGATCTAGACGGTGAACGACTAAGGTCATGATCTTAAACGATACAATGACAAATTAGCAAGTAAGTATCGTCATTAATTTAACAAATAATTGATATGCAGGGCTCGGTCTTATCTCAAATAAATTTATATAATATGTATTTTAAATAAAAAAAAAATTAAAACGTTATTTAGTATTTATTTTAAATAACTTCTTCTGATCTATTTCTTATTTAATACTTTAAATAGGTGTCTAAAACTTATTTTATATTTTTTATTTTAAATAAGTCAATTATTTTACCGAGCCCTGTTGTTATGTTTATGTATAATAGGAAACATAAATTTTCGTGACAGTTATTGAAGTCTGTTTCTTCTTATAAAAGGACCAATCAATCAAATTTATTTCCTTATATCTTAAATTCAATTTCTCCTTTATTTTACATTAAATGTCTCCGTTATTTATCAGAATGATAAAAAAGACTCTCGCCGATCTATTAAATCTTCCCGTGATTTTATTCGATACATGTGTCGACAGTTGATCTTCATCACCGGCGGAAACGCTATTGTCTGAAAACATCTCCTTGAGATGGAAAAACGGAGGGCGGTTAAAGGGACCCCGGAGAGATCGCAGATATACAACCGAGTCACCGGTGGCAATAGGCACGCGACCGACACGCGCCCATTATCTTCATCTCTCTCTTTCTCCAGCGTCTCATCTCCAGGCTCGAATTCCCTTTTCCATCGTTCTTCCCTTTAACACGCGTGCGTCTACAAGACGCATGCGACCCACGCACGCGATCATCCCGAGACTTTGTGCCCACATGGGAACTCAAAACATCAGTAGTAATAATCGGTAGTCCAATGCTGACGATTTAATCAAATTTTTCCATACAATTTAAAGTGTAAAAAATTCTGTATACGTATTTGTATCTCTTAAAATTAAATTTTAGCAAAAATATATATTTAGTCGTAATTTCTCTGTTATTTCATCTTTAATAATATAAATAAGGAGATAAATATTAAATTATTAGACATTAAATATGTATTATATTTAATTATAAATATTAAATTATTACACGAATAAATCCGATTAATTAAAGAGATGTAAATAATAAATACTAGCATATCGAAGCACATAACTAAGAATTATTTGACAAATTGTTTTAATATCATACAAAAGTTTAGGAGCACTGACGTGATGATAAAAGTTGGAAATTAATTCTTTCTGCACTTCCTAATTATTTTGTTTCAGATAATATTATTTCGAGATGTGTTTGACGTAAAAGAGTTCGAAATAATTCGTACAAACATCGCGTGCGTCACGATATGTCTTGTGTAGAGGTATAATATTAGACACCCGGTGGACGTGCATCTCGTACGTTGATATCTCACCGCTATAAGATTCACGGGAATATCGCACTGTATGTGCGTGCACGTTTCACATGCGTGTGCGTGCCCATTCAGAAACTCTTCTTTCTAGTGGCCCATTGAAGAATCCAGTCGGTCGGTATATCCATTAAGACGTGTTATCTTGACACTTTAGGGACCGAAGGTACTGAATTTGTATCTTATCATCGTGTTTTCTAAAATTCATGAAATAATCTATGAATTGAATTATTGAACATTGTACATTATATTCAAATGATTTATGTTAGAAGCTGATTTTATATAAATCTGATTTTATAAATTTGACTGAACTCAATTTATTTGGACCGAAATTGTAGATACTGATTAATTTCAATTTCGATTTATGCCAATATTTGTAAAAAAAAATGTGATTGTAATTTTTTAAAATAAATTTGAATGATATTTTAATCTAATAAAACATAAGCAGAAAAACATAAGCAGTAAGACGTAAGCAAATTGATTGATAAAGTAAGACAATAACGTAAGTAATAGCAAATAAAAAATGATTTGCTTACTCTTACGCTTATGTTTTTCTATTCTCTACTAGTTTAAGTGATTATAAGAATTTAAGTAGGTATTACGACTTAGCAATTGAAGCTAGCAAATGAATAATTAAGGTCGATGAAGACGAAAATGCGATCTGTCGTAATGAGGGAAATCGGACGTCTCTAAGTTTAGCTCGTATTTGCATGCAGATCAGGGACGAATTCGAATTGCCAAAGCGCCATAACATATAAGAATTGATAAATTTTTTTCAATGAAGAGATTCAACAGAGGTACATGTAAAATACTTGTTAAGTAGTTGATCCTTTTTGTTTTGTTTTAAATCAACATGTAATGTTTATGATCTTCGAAGTTCCCTAAAAAAAGTATTGAATTCTCAATTTCAAAATTTCAAAAATCATCTCAGATTTAGGAATTATTGAGTTCTTTGAACATTAAGTCACATACATTCTACAATAAGCCATTAGTAATAAATCAAAAGTCAGAAACTAAAAATTGACCAGTTATAATAAATTATTCTTCTTTCATGTGACTGTAATTGGTCAATTTTAACTTCCGACTTTCGATTTATATATTACTAATGGCTTATTGTAGAATGTGGTGGTTATATGCTCAATTCTACCAATTTTGATTCATTATTCTTCATTTTTTTTTATTCTTGGAACTAAACGAAGATGAAGATAAGTTGAAGTATCGAGATTAAGTAGGTTAATTCACATTGGTAGAAATGGACATTAATCATCAATTAGATAGTTAAAATTATTTTGATATAATATATCTGACGTGAATCCATCATTTGGCAAGCTCTTAAGAAAAGAAAGACCGATGTTGCACAAGGATATTCCTTAACTACGATCTAGAAATACTAATTTCGAAATCGTACCCCACCAATTTATCTCTCGACCATTGACGAAAGCACAGTGTGACAGGAAGCGCAACTCTCGTGACGATTGTCGGTTTCCGGATGCTTGCCTGAGATCAGATCTCATCTGTTTAAAAATAAAATAAAATTAATTAAACAATATACGAGAATGGGACATACAAAAAGTATATTTGTAATACATAAGAATAATTCAAATTAAAAAAAATACTTATTCTGAAGATAATTTAATAAGAATTTATAATAGAATTCCCATTGATGTATGCTATGTTAATTTTGGTGAAAAAGGAAGTTATATATGTTTATGTAGTTAGTTATATATTTGTGTAAGTTATTTGTGCAACTCTTATGTAAAGTTGCAATCGGCATTCGCCTAAATTTATGTTTCTGACATCATAATTGAAGACATCTTGCACTGCAGATGTGACCAACCCTTAATAGAAATAGCAAATAGAACACGATCGTGTCTTGTATAATGTTATTAAAAAAAATCTAATTAACTGGAAGATAGAAGTGCCAGCAGACTGGCACTTCGAATCGAAATATCACGATTTCACATGTAATAAGTTTAGAGGCGAGTTTTTGGCTGATGACCAACGATTAAGCAGTATCTACAACGACGATGATAGCGAGTGCTTGGATCGCGCTTATATATCACGATTCAATTTAACTATCGCCGTTTATATTATATTCGTGTCTACCTGTCGTCGGCAGCGTAAGAATCCGTAGATCCGACCGATGCCAATGATCGAAAAATAGATACGAGCGCAACCTGTTCGAAATAGCCAAAGTGAAACTTATGACACGCGGTAGTTCTTTCAAGTCGTCGTATAACATTGCGTCCAAACCTGTGGATTGTTGATTAATCTACGATCAATTTTCAGTGAAAGATGTTGACAAAATAAATGACACCATTCATTTCTGAATTTAGTTAGGAGAATAAGATGTTCATTGCGACGAAATTGATTTGAAATGTATGTATAAGTATCCATTTAGTTGAAAAATCATGTACATCAATGTCGATTTTAAGACTAAAATATTTTAATAATATCCTTCTAATCTTCCTTTTAATTTTCTCTTTCACAGGTCAAGAGATCACTCGCGCCCGCGAAGGTGTCTAAGCTCAAAAGAAGGAAGGGGATCTAATTATAGAAGTCGTTGTACCGCTCGGTGGAGAACGATGGAGGGTGTGAGTGCGGGTGCACGAATAAGAATCGGTTGTGCATTGGGCGGTCATAAAATGCAGTCTGCATCCGCTCGACGCAGATGTACTGCGGAACGGGGTTCGTTTCTCCTACAAGGAGTCCGCAAAGGATCTCTCGTTTCGGTGTTAAACGATCTACTGAGATGTATCCGGTACTATATGAATTAGATTGAAGATCCGCGAAACGTGATTAATTGAACTGTGCGCAAGAGACTCGCAGCTTTCTTTGAATTCTTTGAATACCCATTTAGATTGAAATTCGGATTCAACACTGTTAAATCTATAGTGTCAAATTTGACCTAATGTGAGTCGCCATTGTTCCTACTAAATATATCATTATTTTTTATTAAAACGATAATTAAATTTGACACTATATAATGTTCAATTGACACTGTATAATGTCAAATATAACCATTGTTTTAATGTAAAATAACGATATGATTGAGTAATAAGATCAGTGGCGACTTACATTAAGTTAAACGATAATTAAATTTGACACTATAGATTTAACAGTGAAGCGCATTGCATTTCTGTGTAATTTCCACGTACACGTACATATTTGATTCATTTTATTTATACCAGAATTATAAATAATGTATAGTTCATAAATAAATTAAATATAAAGAAACAATATCTCCATACATAAATAATTATTTACATAAATTCTTGAATTTATTTATGAAATTGTGAAATAAGTTTAAATAACAGGGATATTTAAACTATTTTAAAACGATCGAATATTTGAAATGGACATTAATGACAATTTTTTTGAAGAATCGACTCTTCAATCAAGGAAGTAATGAGAGTAAAGATTAGATACATTATCTCATGCCACTTGATATTAATCGGCACTTCATTGAGAACTTTTCCAGCACGTTAACGCGCTATCTTGGACATGACTTCGTTCATTACACCATTCATTCATCCGGTAGCCATGTGGTTCATTGCTAACCCTTGCGGCATTTCCTGTCCTACAATGATAATAAAGAGATTCTAGTACTTTGTACCAAATTTTATATTAGGAAAAAATATAAGAATAGCTCAAAATCATATATATCTGTACATATGTGTGTGTGTGTGTGTGTGTCTGTGTGTGTGTGTAATATACAAAAAAATTATTTTAAATATGCCAAATGTATTTTATATCCGCAGCTTTGCGTTTGATTACACACTTAAACATTAATTATAAAACCAATAGGTCCTTATAAAATTCATATAGATCTAAATCTAGATATTAAAAAAGTAAAGCAATCTTTTTCGCAGTTACCATTATACTTGATAAAGAATGAAACTGCGAAAAATAATGAAGACTATTTTGTAATACAATGCAAAGTTTCCTTTTAATTTTTTATGTATGGCTTCTACCATTTCTGGAGTAATGATTTCTGGAGTGAGGTCCGATCGCGCTGTTTGTCGACAAGTTCCAGCTGCTAGATCTCGCGCGTGATCAACTCGTGCCGGGCAAGCTGCGATTATTATTGTTTCCCTTTTTCTCTCCTCTCTTTCTCTCACTCTCTATGTCTCTCTTTCGAAGTAGCCGAGTGTATGCCCGTGACGTGGCCATGTAAGGGCTAGGCGGGGGTGCCATGCTGGGGCCGCTAATTTTAGATCGACTCCCGTGCTTCCAGGAGTCGCCTCGGCGAATCGGCAGCTGGTGATTCGACGAGCTGCTGCCTCTCTCGCGTGCACGTGGATCCGGTATACAATGCGTGTCGCGCTGGTCGCGCAGCGTCCACCGGTCATCCCCCTTCTCGCTTCTCTCGTCTCGAAGAAGGCCGACGTGTTCGATCGTCTTGGTCCAGATGTATCTCGCAATCTCTCTTCCTTCGAGACACGTGATCACAATCAATCAAAAGAGAGCCTTCTAGTTAAGAAATTGCGCATCGAGTGCTAAATATTTGAAATGTTTCCTGCGTCTATAAATTAAAATAATAATATGTGTAAAAAATAATATATGTGTATATGTATATAATTATATATACACAAGTGTACACATAATAAATATTTGTACATATTCTTTAATTGTACTATGTTTATATCTATGTATATTAATTCAAAAATTTCCAACTGTGGAACCCGTAAAAGAGAACACGACGTCATAGAAGAACCGGAAACGAAGCGAAGGCTTTGAGAAACGTCGAGAACCGCATTGGGTAGAAACGCATTCCGAGACGCATCCTTTCGCTTCTGACGTGGAAAGGGGAAATGAATGCATGCACGAACGTTTCTTTGTGGCGCAAACTGAGACGGCAGGGGGTAAACGAAAAATCTGGTAGCGGCTGGTGCAGCGGATGTTTGAAGCCACTGAAGAAAGCGAAGCGGTGGTTCCTGTCGTAGCTTCTCTCACGCTTCGTCTTTGCCGCCTCTCGCGGTCCCTCGCGGGCATCCTTTTCTCGGTCAGCGTAGGAGGCACACATTTCGGCGGATGTGATGTTTAAGACAAGAACCACCCCGCGACTGACAAAAAGCCCAGCATCGTATAAATAGGCGGTGGTTGCTGCCACTGCGGTTGGCGGTTGTAAACTGATATCGCTTTGACCCATATAACACGGATTGATTGTTTGTGAAACGATGAGCAATCAGTCGTTTTCATATTTGGAGAACGGATCCTCAACAGAAGGAAAAAGAATCGTGTCAGTTATAAGATTCGTTGAATTTCATTTCTTGTCAGTCGAATCCAACATCTACAATATAGTATAGATCATTCATTATTACACACATATTACAGTTACTAAATTACAAAAAAAAATAAATAAATTTATTAGCACATACCATTATTCACAGACACAACATGTCAAAAGTTTTTAGAATATCGAAAGACATGTAGAATGCTAAAATAATTGAATTTTGGATGCCTAAGAAGAAAAATTAAATCGATATTGTTAAAAGTACAATCACGTCTCCGGGTTTCGATGTGTCCAACACGTGGCTTGCCATCTCTATTCTCTTCTCCTGCTGAGACACCGAGAGACCTCCCGGCGTCGTTCGTCCGTATGTGTACAAGAGAGAGCCCTCTCTGGTTGTCGAATTGTTTCATCCATTCGTCGGTCTCATTATTCAAAGCTGAGAATGCGTAAAAAAGTCAGGATCGAGTCCAGGGACCAACGCAGGGTCCACACCTCCTCGGTGTCTTCCGCGGGATTGTAAATAGATTCTTTTTGTAGCAGGTTTTTTGTAGTAATGCATCAACTTCGTGGGAGAGAATGAATGAAACCACCAACCACGTATTGATATCTAATTGATAGTTAATGTTAGCAGTGTGAAACATTGCCTATAAATGGAAATATCAATGTGTTATATATCAATTGTATAAAGAAGAGAAAAAGATCGATTTTCAAGCGTATATAATAACATTTTCTCCAAAGAAATTTTGAATTTCTATGTAATTATTATTCTATAAAACTAAAGCGACATACGATTAAATCAAACAAAAAATAAAGATATTTATTTTAACGTATATTAAAATTTTTATAAGAAATTGTACTCCAATAAATCAACTCGATACATTTTTTGACTTTACATTTTTATTGTTTCGTTTCTACAGCTGTAGACAAGGAAACGCTGTCAATGCTGTAACGATTGGTGTTAATGATTTAATGCAAAGGTTGTAAATATGTGATTGGAAATGGCAATATGGTAATGCGCGGTACGTTCTCTCTTACGGAATAGGAGTATCACCTGCTCGTATTGTTTAACTGAGTGAAATGAAATGGCGTCCGGTGCTGGACCAGATTGCGGCCGGCGCGTGCCCGATTCGCGGAAATCTGACACTCTTACTTTTACGACATTCTGCACGGTGCAGGCACTTAAAAATCTGCCTTGAAAAGCTGCAGCCGTTTCACGGTGCAACACGGAGGAATTGTGCTTGCGTTCAAATACGTAGGATATGTTTGAGATGTATCATGTTTTCATTGCCACTTACATATACAAATTCTTATTATAATTCTTCTTTCTTATTATTATAATATTCATAGAAAAAAAATTGTTTTACAATTATACAATTTTAAAAGAGAAAATACAGCTTTTTTAAAAAAAAAATATTAAGAGGAATAGATATTTTAAAATGTGAAAGTTTTGAACAGCATAGTCTTCATGTCGAGAATGTCATAAAGCCACTTTGGTTGAAAAACTACATCTAACCGATGCACAAACTGATGTCCCTCGAATACATATGTCACCTATTAAAAAATTATGTTATATGAAAGCGCATTTAATGTAAATCTTTAATTTAATATGTGCCTACTATATATATAAAATCCTGGCTGGTATCTTTTATTACTTCAGATACAAGTTTGTACAAATGTAATTATATATATAGTACGGTATATTTCTATAGTTTAAATACCTAATTATATTGTGTTTTATCATATTCAAATTATGATAAAACATATTAAAAGTAATTCCCGATATTATCCAGATCTGCTCATTTTTTGTTGATGTATAATGTATATTGAGATGCGCACAAGAGAGAGAGAGAGAGAGAGAGAGAGAGAGAGAGAGTACAAGGGGAAAGAGCTGAAAATATACACAACAAACTAACGTCGACTGGAAAGTGCGGCGGCTGCACGCAACTCGCCGCGATGCAGAAGAACACGCTGACAGTCACATATGGCTCCGGATATGCCGGTGTGGGTATGCTCCATAGAACATGATACATGTAGAATTCAATGGTGCCTTCTTTGTTAAGGCTGATAAACTTTGCATAGAACATCCAATTTCTCAAAGCCTATAGAAGATCAATAAAATTCATTATTTCGTTTTTTCTTCCCTTAACATGCCGTTTCTTTTTTAATTATACCGATAATTGATTCCATCGGAGCATCTCCTCTTTCACACATCGCAGACCTTTTCGTATATTCATATTTCCACACGTAGGCCATTTGGTGTGGTTAATCGAGGACTCATGATCCTAATAGTTAAGAGCAAATGATATGAGAATTATTTATCAGTAATACAGACAATTGTTATATGTATATACATGAGACACAGTTTCAATAATATATATGAAATTTTATGGGCATTATACCGTAATTGACAAATAAGAAGTTTAACGAACCATCACAGTGACAATTTTCATTGCGGAGATAACCGCAGAATCGACGAATCGTCTCACGAAATGCGTCACATCTTGACAAGATTCAAGATCAGACTGTTGATCTTCCGCAGGTCGCCTATTATACACTGATTGCTTTTTTCGCATAATCATCCTGATTAGAGATTCTGTAGGTTGTGTGTGAATTTCAAAACATTTCTGAAGATTTCGATGATTTATTTCGCCAAATTTACAATCGATAGCGATTCGTTATGTTCTTCGCATTAAAAAAAAAAAACAAAAAAAAACAAAACGACAGATCTAAGAACTTCTTTCGTGATATAGGTATATACATTTACCTACCAGCGTATATAAGACATCTACATATGTACGACAATTAAATATGTATATATACGTCGATTTAAATCTATACGAGAACGATTCGCGATTAAAGCTACGTGATTAAAGCTTATGTTAACATTCGTTTTTTGAGTGATTAGAGTCATGCTGATTGCGCGCAGCTTTTGTAGATGCTTCCAATCCTGTTACGGCCGCTAGCACTTCAAACAGACTTTCCATCAGTCTGCCAAATATTTCTGACATCTCATCGTCCTTTCTTGTCACGACAAATATATCTAAAACATATTAAGATGCAAAATAAACAATATTTCATGTATTGTTATGTATAATACAGATCAAATATTAAAAAAAAAAAAAGAAATAATAATGACATTATACAATTTATAAAAGAATATAACTTATAGTATTTTGATAGTTTTTAAAAATACATATTCAAAGTATTTTTTACATTTCTTCTTTCTTCAAATAAAAAAATATGTTGTATATAACTTAAAATATTATTGACTATTTAATACAACGTCTATTAAACTTACCTGATCTATCTTGACCTATATATTTGCAGTACATATTAACAGCCGTCGTTACATCATCATCATCATGAAAAGCATCTCCGGGCCATTGTGCCCTGTGCAGTCTTACGGCTTCGAGCGCCGGACACCACCGTGCATTTCTCAAAAGTTCGGCGACTCTCGCAACTTCTTCCACGGCTCCAGAGCCCGGTAGAGGACTAGGACTAGGTGTTGGAGTAGGTGTCCCTCGTTCGCTTTCAGTGCTTTCTTCGAGCGCTCTGCTTAATGCTATTTTCATATTAGCGATCTCGACTGATAGATCTTGTAAAGGAATCTGTACGTTTCTAGCGGCATTCATTAGCGCTCCTAACATTTTGTTCGATGCTTCAATCAGCAGAAGTAGTTGGAAGTGTAATTTGTAAAGTGCTCTACCTAGATCCAACAACATCTCTTCGACACCTGCCTCTGTGGTATGACTGCCGCCTAACGCCTGAAGCTTAGTGGTCGCTTTAGCTGCCTCCAAGCACTGAGAGGAAAACAAATATCATAATTATCTGTTTTAAATAGTTATTATTAAGTTTAGCAAAACCTACTTCCGTAGCATGATCCTTCCTATCCAAAAATGTTTCTAAATGTTCTTGAACTTCCAGCATTCCAAAGCGTAGCGTCTCGTTTAGTCGCTGATTCGCGAATATTGTCACTGAAAACCACACTAGAGGCGGCTCAGCTTTAGAACTAAGTAACTCGGCATGACCAGATAAATAGCAACCTAAGTGAGCTGAAGCCGAGCTGCCGTTAGAAAGCAAAGCACTTGCCTCGCGTGTAAGACCGACAGACTTACTGCTCACATCCTGAAACACACCGATTTTTTTAATAATTTTCTTTGGAAAAAATAACAATTATCTCATCATTTGCTTCTATTTTAATAAAATAAATTATATTTTTTATAGCTTACCCTCAAGATCTTGCTCAGCAACTGGAAGAAGCTTAAAGTATTGTACGGAGCTTGAGTGATGAGACTTTGAATTTGCTGTCTCCAGATCTCTTCGGCGTCGTCTCGTACAACTTGTCGGAAGGGCATCAACGCGGACAAATTCGGTGACGCGTTGCAAGGCGTAACGTCGCCGAGATCTCCCGCGCTCGAGCCACTATAGATGAAGAATTCAAATAAAACGATTAATATACGCGTTTCCAAAGATCTTCATACAGAAACTTACGATGTGTCAGACCTTGTAGATGAATCGTGACGCGTGCGACTAGGTATCAACGATAGAGAAGACGGTGGGAACATTCCCGGGATGCTGTTTGCCTCCTGTCCTGTTCCAGATCCTCCTGGTACCTCATCCAAGGGTGATTCTGATCCTGCCTCGTCGTCTGATGATTCTTCGGTGACACCGCGCTATGTACATTCAGAATTTTATTAATATATATAAACAAATAATTTAAAAAGATAAAAAGTATATAAAGAACATAAATTATATATGTATAATAAAACTTATTTTAATTTTTTTTTACATATTTACCCGCGTAGTGTGTTTGCTGGATGATGGTGTCTTTTCGCTTAAACTTTCCTCGAACTGTCGCAAACTAGGTTCTCGTTCTTCTCCCTCGCTAAGAGGACGACGTCGAACTCCCCAGTTAAAGTTGTCGGTACTCTCGCCCTGTAAAGTTTAACGGAAAAAATTGAAATCAATATTTTCCATTCAAAAGTAATAAAGTGTAAGCGTAATGAATTATAGGCTTACCTCAACGCTTTCACTTTCATATTCGAGGAAATCGAAGTCCTTAAATACACCAAACTGTTCGTCATCCCGTCTGGATCCTCCACTCAAATCATTATTCGCACCAGAAACCTCCTCTGTTGAAGAAGCCATGGATGATTGCCTTTCCATCAAATCCGAACTTTGACTGAATATGACCTGAATTTAAAAAAGTGATTGATAGTATATTAAAAAATGTAAATAAAGAAATTGGAGAGATTAGAAGCAAATACATAAATGACAATTTCATGAATATGAAATCAGTAGCTACAACATATTTCGTATTTTATAGATAAAGAGAAAAGATTACTATGACATTAAATATTATTCAACGTTATTGAATCCATTTATTTTGCTGCTTCTCAATTAAATCTCTCAATTTGTAATTGCCTTCAAATATCTCAATTTTGACTGATTATGTGAATTTGCTTAAGATATTCTACAATGTGCATACGTGTGTGTGTGTGTGTGTGTGTGTGTGTGTGTGTGTGTTATACAATACTAGTCATATATACAAAGTGCTCTCGAACTATCGCAATTTTTCCTTCACACTCTAATAAATAGTTATAGTTATATTAATATCAAAGAATATATATATAAATTTTAATTATAAAGAAAATAATGCTAAATTAGGATGTAATGTTGAAAGATAAAAAATAGCCACATGATACCAAGTTTTCAAAAGATTAACAACTAATGCGATAGCGTAAGGGAGTCACCTGCATATATGTACATAATAGCGAACAATCAACATACATTGTTTTATATCAAAACAAATGATAACACATAATACATCGTCAGATTATAGAATTTATGTATCCAACAATCATCAAGAATATGCAAAAACATTTCTATTATATATTTATACAGATAATTTCTCATATGATCACACATACAATAGACGACAAAGCATGAAAAGATAATATATAGATCCCAGATGACTGTGCTGCAAAATTATACTCTACTACCACTTCATAATATCTTACACAACTGTTTTATTACTCCTGTAACAATGTGCGAGTGAAAGCACTTTATAAAGCTGACTTGAAGCGTGAAAAAAAGACTCAAAAAACATTGCACTTAATTACTTATAATATTGCGAATTACAGTGGGTGTGCAGATGGCATTTATAAGTAACCCTTTACCTTGCTATACAATGTCATTGAACTAATGTGCTCATCCTAGAAAGGGGTAATGAGAGTCAGTTGTTTTTTGTAAGATGTACAGGGTGATTCTTAATTATATATCAATACTTCAGGCGGTGACTCCAGAGCCCCAAAAATGTCAGATGAACATAAGTCGATTAAACTTCATTTTCTGAAGTTGTAATAAATTAAGAATGCTCGAAAAATATACCCGCCTTCCGCTATAAAGCATGCTACGGCATGTTCTGATGTGATCACATGTTTACTAATTATATATACATATATACATATGTATATATATTATATAAAATTACATTATTTTTTATTTTAAAATACCTATATTTATATAAATTTATTTCTTAAGAAAGAAATTTACAAAATATAAGTGTTTTAAGAAAATTCAGAATAAAATATATAATTACATATAAATGTACACATACATATGTATTATATTAGGATAGATTATAGGATAGGACACACTACTCGAATTAATAATTGAAACGTCTGCAAATAAAAACGTACCGATGGACTCTTTGGTAAACCAACTCTTTGTCCACATGTCGTCAATAAATTTACCAAGCACTCCCTGACACGACCCTATTGAAAAAAATCGATTATATACCATGAATGCATAATTTATACATAATATATTAAATTTTCTGCCTATAAATGTCAATCAATTTCTAATTAAATCTTTATTGTAATCATAATAGATTCTTGTTTGATATTTTTAATAATTATACCTGTGACATCCATGGTCTCTTCCAACCGGCAATGGCACTATTTTCAGCCGGTGATAGAGATAACGAACAACGTGGAGAACTGATTAATTTTTCTTCAGTACCTTGACGTATTAGCCAACGTCGACCGATTACTGGTGTTTGAGACAGATCGAACGTGAAGTCCATTGTTCTTCCTATTAATAAAACAGATAAAA